GTTTCATCCTAAATGGACCATCAATATCTGATGGCCCATTAGGCTTTAATAAAAGTCCATTTCAAGTTAAAAAAGAGAGGTGCTTTGTTTGTATTTTAAGTCGATGGAACTTCTAAGAATAAGAAAGACCCGTTTGAATCTTTTGGCCCATCAAGTTATTTATGTATGACCCATTAAGGTATTTTAAGAGTCCATTAAAAATATGGGTTGTTTTTTTTGTTTAAAATTATCAGGCCCAATAACTAAAATGCAGTACGGCCCATTCAATTTTTGTTTTGAAAATTTTGTTTTTGTTTTTAATTATAACATTATTATCATCTTATAATTATTAATTATTGTTACTGATTATTTTTAGAACTTAACTAAAATGTTTTTGTCCTATTGATTGTAAGAAGACCGTTAATACAAAAAAAGGAGGCTTTATACGACCCATTACTAATAAGCCCAATTCAGTTGAAAAAAAAACTTGTTTCCAAAAAAGAAACAAGTATTTTGTGAATTAAACAAAAAACACACACTTTATTGTTTTAAATCGTTACTATACAAATCATCATTAAGAATAACGCATGATCACCACTATACAAATGAAGGAAAATAGAATTAACTCAGAATCATTACAGTCCATAACATAAACAGAAACAAGATCGAGACTTATACAAAAACAAAATCAATCCGGAATCAGAGTCAAAACCCAAAGCATAAACAAATTAAAACTTTATACAAAATTACAGACAAATTAATATTCTTTCCTAATATGCTAATAAAAAAATAACAAAACCTAATAAATCTATTTCCTAATCTATAAATTCTAATTTGCTATAAAAACCTAAAGGAAGAACAGTACAGAGGACAAAAAGAATTTGATAGAATAAAATTTGACAAAAGGAAATTTTTTCACTGAAGAACAGAGTAGAAGGAGTAGAAGAATCTTCGTCTTGACCGCTCGCGTCCTTGCTTGGGATTTGGGTTTCGAGATCCGAAACCCTAAATCTGTTTGATTCGTTGCTACTTCAACCTCTACCATGCCTTCGTCAAGCCACCACTGCTATACCTGCATCATGAAGAGGAAAATGATCAGAAACGGGACCAGAGCTCAAATACGCAAGGAACACACGTCAGAGCTAAACCACCACAAATACTTAGCTTAATTTTTGTGATTTTGGGGTGGTTAGACCATCGCGTAAGGTTTAGTAACTGTGGGTTTGGGTCGCGTTGCCGCTTGGGACCGCCTAGGGTTTTGTTGTTTAGGTTGAGAGAAGAGGAGATAGGCGGGGGTTAGAGAAAGAACACGAGAAACGTTTCAGAGAGAGAGAAGATGAACAAAAATGAAACGAAATTGAAACAAAATTGAAAAATATAACCCTGTTGAAATCCTATACGCGTGTGCCCTTAATTGCTACCGTACTCCCTCAACCACCACCACATGATCTCAATCACACGTTCCTAATATGTGCGCCCACGGTATAACAGTGCACTCACCCGTATGTGGTACTAATGGACTCAAACTTGTGTTAGGCCTGGCCCAGTGTTAAAACATCCCCCCCCCCTTTATTTTTATTTTTGTTACCACAACTAAAAACACACCACCCTTAGCCTAATGGGCCCAGTCCAAAATGTTCCCCCTCCTGCTCGCCCCCTCCTTTTTCTGGCTAACTCTAAAACATACTCCCCTGTCTTTTGGGTCTGAATTCAAGCCCATGCTATTAAGACCCCCCCCCCCCCCCCCTCTCTACTAACTTGGCATTAGTTGCACCCCCTGCATTTTTCTAATTTATTTATTTATTATTTTTTATAATTGTATTTTTATATTTATATTTTCTTATATTTTTATTAATTATAATATTATTTATTTTATTATTATCATATAAGCCATAATTTTTTTCTAAATAAATTCAAATATATTTTATTGCATTAAATTATTTCTTTTGATCATGCATTTAATTATAATATTTTCATAATTAATATACTAAAAAAAATACTTAACCAATGGAAAATTATTTTCGTAAATCAAATTAATCCAACATATATTCTTCAAAAAGGGTTACAAGTATATTTGAATCAATTGCGTACTCCGTCTAATATCTCTGTTATTCGTACACCTAAACTAAGTATGTAGGAAATTCAAATATCTTCGTAATCTATAAAAAACACAAATCAACTGCGAACTACGAAATTAGACTTTGATTCCTCCTAAGAGGATACGTAGGCATACGATTAAAATCGTGGCGAGTTCCCCTAATAAAATATTAAAACCCTATTTCTAAAAATCGCGCTTCTAAACCCAGTATCCTTGTGAACAAGGTAGATGAAGGGTTCCTAACATCTTTCCCTTCGTCTAAAACTGAGTCAACAATCTAGAATATCTAAAATTTTTCGGGTTATCCTTTATACTCCCTTCCTTGGGATAAAAATTAAGGGCGGCGACTCTGATTTTAAAACCAGTTACAACATTGTGAAAGAAGAGATTTAGTTGAAATGGCTTGTAGAGGGTTCACGATCTCAAGCTTTTCTGTAGAAAAATTGAAAGTGGAGCATGGATTCTTTGGCTCTCAAAATATTGGAAAATGATGGAATAGAGTGTGCTATTTATAGGAGATGATGATGGAATGTTTATACATGGGAAATGATCAAGAATTGATCCAATTCGTGTGAACCTGCAATGAGAGGAAAGCGTGATCTCCAATCCATCAAAACTTAGCTTAAAGTTTCATTTGTGTTCCATTTAACTTTAATGAACTTCCTTAAACATGTTTAGGTCCAAAACGCGTGTTAATTTGGTTATTAGAATGAGTTTTGATCAAGTGGAAATCTGACTTCAAGTTGAAATTTCAGTTTTAGGTAGCCATATTCAAGCTTGTGGGACATCATGCATAAGGAACCTTTATGATTCATTCTTTTTTCCATTTGATAACATCATCACAAATATCACAATGTAACACAAAAAGTTGCATTTGGATACTTGTGGAAAAATTTATGGCAATTGGAAGTCGGCACGATGGACTGAAAATATAGGTCAAGAAAATTATAAGTCCAAAAATGACTGAAAATGACCTATAATGTTCACCAACTTCCCATGGACTTACAAGCATAATTGGACTTTGGTCATTGAAGAAAACTTGTAGATGGAATCAAAAATGCTATTTTGCAAAAAGAATCAGTCTCAAATGATGAAAATTGAAAGAGTTATGATTCTTGAAAGTTGGGCAAAATTCACTTGAAAATATGTCAATAATTTCTAAGTCCACAAGATAACCTATAATGTATCCAAATTTTTGATGGTCTTTCAATCATAATTAGCTATTGACTTGTAAAGAGAAGTTGAAGAGGATGTCAATGAGAGTCATATACTCAAAGGATCACTGAAAAATGTTGAATTTCGAAGGAGTTATGGTATGTTGAACTTGAAATGTTGACTTTTTGGTCAACCCCACTTTGAATCAACTTGCATACTTGATCTTTTCTTGCATTTCAAAGCATGATGATGCACATATGAACTTAGAATGATGAATTCCTGATTGATATTTGATTAATCGTGGCCAATATTGAGGTTACTTGATGATGAAGGCATGGGAATAAACACATGAACATTTGACCTTTCTTGTGAAATAAGTAACCAAACTTGGGGGATCCTTGATCAATTGAGATTAAACGATGTTTGAAGATGATATGACCTAAGATTATAGGCCAATCCTCTAATGCTCAAGTCTTTGAAAATCAATGTTGATCATACTTTGAATTTGGTCAGATAAAACCCTAGTTGAGGAAACTTGTTTGAACCACTTGGTTCACACTTGTCCTTGCAAAATAAACAATGGAAAAACATACGTATTTTTGTATTTTGATTACTAGTTAGTCAAACATAAAACATATGGATACAAATACAAAATATACACAATAGGATGCTTGGTGATCCCACAAATGTAAGTTTAATGGGGAGAGAGAAAGCAAACGTTTAGGAGGCAACCCAAAGTTGTGATCTTGATGCATTGCAAAAAATATGCAAATGATAGGGGGTCTTAGGGATTAAAAATAGGATATAACATGATTCATAAACATGAACACTAGTTCATAATCAATATCCAATTAATAATTGGAGCAAAAGTATGGTTTTCCAATGTATTTGACCTTTCCTCAGTCGGAGTTACGAATCCCGTTTTATGGTGAAAACATGAAAATAAGCCATAAGCATACATGATACTATAATATCATCAATCAAGTGATACTTGAAATATAAGCATGACTTTATTTCACCAAGCAGTAAAGAATTGGATTAGCTTTCCAACGCATCTGATCGCGTCTAATTTCGAGTTACGAAACTCAAGTTATGATGAAAACAATATTTTGAACAATATATGCCTTCACGACTCGAATCAAGTGTAAATTGTGATTCGAATCAAATTAGTTAGGGGCTAACCAGAAGACTCTGATTAGAATCAGAACTCCTAATACAACTCTCTGATTCGAATCAAATCAATCCAAAATTCTTTTTTTGCAGAATTTATGCCTCCGGATTCGAATCAAACCCTGAAAATTCCATATTTTCACATGTTCTTCATGATTTTCTCAACCCAATTCCATGGTGAACACATATAATCAAACCCTAATCATACTAACATGTTAAAATGCTGCATGGATCAAATATGTATCATCAACCATCAATCATCATGAAGAATCAAATATTAAGTTTAATAAAAAAATAAATGTTGATATTAGTGCATAATAAAAACATCATGAGAAAAAAGACACGAGAAGATCCAAATTTCAATATAGGACATTTTTCTTCTCTTGAAATGGCTACATAAAGAAATACAATAAGGAACTTTTTGCAAAATTGAATATATACAATCGGTATATTCTTGAAAACCTACCATAATTAAAATTCATATTTGAAAAAACATTGGTCCACCTCAGTTGACTTCACTCTGCTGCCTTAGTGCCACACATACTACTATTGTGAGGCCTATTCTTTTTCATATAAATAAAACAAAATTCTTTTGTAATCATGAAAAAGTTATTGATTTTTGAAATATTCCTTGGCCAGGAGCAAGCATTGCCAATGGATCATAAATAGATTTTCTTTGCTTGAAAATCTCCCATTTAGGACCATAATGTGTCTGCCATTCTTCTTGTGTACTATAGTGGGCCAAATATTGCTTTACTCCAAGATTTTCCCTTTCACAATATTCCAAAATTCTTTTGTTCCGACTTAGAATGTGTTCAAGTCCTTCTCCTCCATTTGATGAAGGGATTGCAGATGCTAAAAATGCCACTAAATAGAAAATATCTTCATCCGGAATAACAACCGACGTCCTCTCGTTCCACCTGAAAACCATCAAATATTTTTAGTGATCTAACAATTATAACCGATTGATAATTGATATTCTTTTTGTGCTCATTGAATAATTGATGTGTCTTAAATCAGATACATCACTTTTTCAATAAATCTAAAAAAATAAAATTTTTAATAGTCAAACATTTGGATGTATCTAGTCAATAATGTTTGTGATCTATAATATAGACTAGACCAAATACAAAGTTGTTTAATTAAACTGTATATGTAAGACATTCTTTTAAATTTATTGAATAACTAATGTATTTTATATTAGATGTATCAGTTTTTCAATAAGACTGAAAGGTGAATTTTGTAACAGTCAAATTTTTAAATATATTTGATCTATAATATATCAGTCGTATATAGACCAAACTAGATATATCAATTAATTAATGAATTTGTGTGCTTAAAAAGTTTTGTGAAACTTACTTTGACTTCTTGACTGGATAGATAAGGATAGGACCATTGCTTGTTTCTTTGACAATATCACCAAAAACTGTATCTGCAAAATTGTGGATTTTTGTTTTGGGTATGAAAAGATTGAGCCATGGATGAGGAACATCCCATAAGCCTTTTGAACGCAATTTAACTTCTGAGATATGTACTCTGTCCAAAAAGTCAACATATGTAACTTCTGTTTGAAAAAGTGTTGATTGAATATAGTTCAAGTGGGACAAGTGTTCCTCAACTTCCTGCATTAAAAAAAAAAGAGACATAATGATTAGTGAGTAATAGTTAAATTAGTTTTTAATTACTTTTTTTGTAAAAATTAATTGATTATTTAGGACCGTCTGGTGCATTAGGCCCCACAAAATTGAATCTGAGGCGGATAGATGTATGCGGTCTTATTTTTGTTAATAAGAGATTCTTTCTGTGTATCATACTCTATTCTATTTGAATAAATAACTTATTTTAATACTTATCGAATAAGTACTTTTTAAATAAGTGCTTAAAAATAAGTTATAAATCATAAGCTGTTTTCATAATTATCGTGTAGAGTTTCTAACCTGATTTACTTTCAAGGTGTCTTCCGGATTGAAGTATTTAGCCACTTCAATGCAGAAAAGGGTTCTTCCATCTGAGTTGAACTTGCTAGCTTGAACTGGATCTTGTGGATTGAAAGATAATCTCCAGTTATTTACCAAACCAGTTCTGTTTTTGATCACAAATCCTTCAATATAATCAAAAGCTTTTTCAGCAAGTATTAATTGCTCTTGGTCTCTTGTGAATGCTGTGAAATCTGAATATAGCACTCTAATCCACTTAACCTGTTCAAAGAAATAGAATGAAAAAAAAAGCTTATCATGAAAATTTTGAAACTTGCAAAATCACTTGTGAGACTTGCAAAATCACTTATAAAATAAGTTATTACCATAATAGGTGCTGGCTCCAGCTTGATTCTTGCTTTTGTTATAATGCCAAACTGTCCTAATCCTCCAAGTACACTGTAAAAGAGTTCATTGTTTTGCTCCTCAGAACAGTTTACTACCTCCCCAGTTCCTGCATTCATTCAACAACAAACTTTTTTCAATAATTAAAAAAAAATAGTATTTTGGTTTTTTGAATAACTTATTTTCAGCCTTATTATTTGTTGATACTTTCTTATTTGATGAATTTATAAACATAAACAAATTTTTAATTCATTTTCATGCATGTGCGACCGGAAACCACATAAGTTACATTCAATGTAGTCAAGATCTAGTGTTGAATCGTAAGATAGTAAGATTTTATGTGCTAAGAATGCCTGAGAGTGATACAATCACAAAAAGATCGTTTTCGTTGCCGGCTTGGTCAAGTTCCAGATTTTTGAACTAGCATCGTCTTTTTTTGGACCTGTATTATGATTTTCATGTTTAGGTGCCGCACTAACGGACATAATTTTAGGATCTTTCACAAGCTGCCCTATCTTATTTAAGATCCCGAGCTTGACTACATCTGGCTACATTTGATCGTGATTCTTTCTATAATATTCAGAATCACGGCATGTGCAATTTAAGCTTAAGTTTTTAGAGAGTTATTATTGTTAGTTATGTCGCAACACTAACACTATTATCAATATAAACATATTAGTGTTGTGTCTGGTATCAGTGATATGTCAGGTGTTCATATGTGCTAGTGTTATGTCTAGTGTACGTGTTGTGTCTGGTGTTAATGGTGTGTCACATGTGTCAGTATTGTGTCTGGTGTCAGAATTGTGTCAAATATATATGTGTCAGTATTTCATAAGTGTTGTGTCAGTGTTGTGTCAAGTGTTTGTGTGTATGAATATTTCATAAGATACTATGTCAGGAGAAATATTTGCTCACAAGAGACAAAATACTAGGTTCTCTATTAAGAATATGTTTTTTTTCTCATTCTCATAAAAGATACCAACCTGTGACAATCTCCATTTTCAGAACATTACTAATCTGTGGACCATGTCTAAAAGCCTGACCACTAACACCAGCATTCGACAAAGTACCACCAACTGTCAAATGCAAATAATCTGTCCAAGATCTTGGTGCCAAACCATACCTCAATGTCTCCTTCAAAATATCTATCCACAATTCACCTCCTGACACATCCACATAAGGAAATTCTCCACCATAAACCTTAATCTCTTCCACCTTAAGTGATTCCATATTAATCACAACTCCTCCATGAGCTTGTGCTTGCCCTTGAAGTGAATGACCATGTCCTCTAGCCGCAACCGCTACGCGCGAGCTAGAACCTAAACTCCATACATGCTTTATAGTAACTGCAATATCAGAAACTGATTTTGGATGAAGTACTGTCATAGGATGAGATTGGTACCGGTTGCCGAAATCTCTAGCTGCATTTTTAAGGTCAAGTTCATCAAAGCTAAAGTTTCCTTCTATAGGAAGTGATTTTAAAGAAAAAGGGATATTTGAAATTGAGAAATTGAGTCTTATAGTAATACAACTTAGGAGTAAAATCATGAAGCATTTTATGAACAAAATGTTGTATTCTCTAACAAGGTTGAAACATGGATATCTTAATTTTTTCATTGAAGATAGGTTGGTGGTTAAAGGGTGAAGAAGGTTAAAGTGAAGCATGGTGTGAGCATAAACTATAAGGAGAGGATTCTTTTGGGCTTAAAACAGAAGTAGAAGAAGCTATCATACTTATACTAAGTTGAAAAGGAAAAGTGACAAGAAAGAGAGATTTTACAAATCTCACTTTTCCAAACAGTTGATCCCACAATCCCATATTTTCATCATTTCATCAAGGACACACATGTTTTCAAATTTTATTTTTGGTCACTAACCAATTTAAGTAACTTATATTTTCCAAATATAGACTTAAAAAAGTACTTGTTTTTCTTTCTATGAAAGTACGTACAAAATCATGTATACAATACTCATATTATACATAATCGGTCTCAAACCTAGATAAAAAAAAAGTTGTATTAGACAGTCGTCGACAGTGAATGTAAAATTTTATTAAATATTTATAACATAGATCAAAATGATAATAAGTAAATCATATTCGGCCAAAATTACAATTGTATTGTGGTTGAGTGCAAATTAAAACCATGGTGATATCTACCTCAAATATATTGAGGTGATGGATTGGTGGTAGAGAGATTGTATTAATACATTGATGGAAGATTGAAGACATTGGTAGGGTCTTAGTTGGTCCATATGACACGTGAAGTTTTCATTCCTTTGTGCTTGTTTGTGAATATGGTATGGTCATGTAGGACCTCTTCTTGGGGCCCTTTTGTAGGTCAAGAAAATCTTTTGGAACAAGTGCAAATGCAAGACTGCTACTTACATATTTGATGCAATGATGCAAAATCACCACTATACCACTACTACTTTTAGTAATGTTATTTACAATTTTTAAAACTGGGAAATTTTTTTATCTCTCAGAATTTTCATCTTTTTTTTTATGCATATGTATTATGGTTTGTTAGCATGATTGCATGCTACGCAACATATACAGAATACTGCGCAACAATTATTTAATTTGCAACGTTGAGTTGCATATTTTTTTATGTATATTTTTTTTGGGTACAAATGTCGTTGCCATTGAAATCTATCATAGTAAACTATAAAGGGTTGTATTTTATAGCATATCAATACAGCCCTTTAGTGTCTTAATCATATGGTTTTTTGTTTTTATATGATTATATATATTTAAGGAAATGGATTCAGTGAATTTCTGCAGAAAAGTCACGATAACTTTAACACAAATGTAATATTTTTTTTTTAAAATTAACTAACAAATAATATATAAATACAATAATATAAAATAAAAAAGGGAATGTGGTAAAGTCACGGTAACTTTATTGATTTAGTCTCACTGAAACGCGACCCATATATTTGTTGGAATAATATAATAAGTATGACTAAGTGGGAAATGTGGAGATTTAAGCATATATATAAGTGGGTGAATCCACCCACCTATCACCTTAAGGTTTTAGGTGGATAAGTGATATGTTTCTCACAAAGGTATCTAGTCCTACACTATATATCAATGCTCATAGTATCTCCCCAAACATGGTATCAGAATCTTTGGTTCGAAAAAGAGACCGGAAGAAATTTGTATGGCGGTACAAGTGAGAGAGTATTGTGGACTCACACTTGAATGAGAGTGTTTGAATAATATAACAAGTGTGAGTAAGTGAGAGTATTTTTTTTCCAATTCATCCTTTAATTGAACGAATCAAGCAAATCTATTTATTTATGTTCGATCTTTAATTAAAAATTCATTCTATTTGCAATTGCATTTCAATTATCTTATTTTTCATTGGCGTTCCACCGAGACAAAAAGAAAGTGAGGGTCGTTGTACTGGTTTGGAATGTCGCAGGCCCTTCTAATTTAATTTTTATCTAGTATGTTTATGTTCAAATTTTGACTATAGATTGAGTGAGTTATTAAAATGAAAAAAGTCGTTAAAACGATCTTTTCATGGAAATTACTTATGAAAATTTGTTAAAATTTTTTTTTTTGTTGAAAATAGACCAGACTAATAATAAGAGTCTATAGGCTAGCCTATATAGCATCGTGTCAGGTCAGACTTGTTTTTTAAATAGAAAATGTTCGGATTTTTTATAGGTCTATTTAGTTAAAAAAACTAGGCCGCAGGCTGGAAAAAAAAGTCTTTTAAATTTATTAGGCCGGGCTATTTAAATAAATATGAATAATTTTATTATTATATGGTGTTTGTATTTTAAATTAAAATACAAAAATAAAGTTTAGATGTCTAGAAGGACTTATAAAAATACGCTGAAAAAACCTTATGAACAATATCATAAGTTGTTTTCGTAAGTTCTCTCAAATAAATAGTATCACAAAATATATGTTAATAGATAAACTTGAATAAGTCAATGCAAATAAGCATCTAGTCTAATTAATCTTTTAATTTGTTAGTCTATTTTAAGATTAATTAAATTGCTTATTTGAAAATGTTCAAATAAAATAGACTTTTATGTAGGCTAATAGGCCAACCAGACTTTCGAAAAGGTCAGGCTCAGGATTAAAAATAAGCCTTTGATAGGCCACAGGGCAGACTTAGGCTTTGAAAAATAAATCCTCAACATGTCCAGACATCATGTATGAGATTTCTTCAAGCCAGTCCAAAATAGAGCGGGAACTCCCCCTTAAAACCTACTAAGTAACACTTTAGTGAATACAAAATTTTCCTCCTCAATAGCAGCAGTAACCATCACACATATCACTCCCTCTTTTTAGCCATAATATGACAAAGGCAAGTAACCAAAAACATGTTTAGAACACAAAGTGTACACATATGCTAAACAAATCATGGGCATTTATCTCTTAGAGTCATAAAGCAGTAAAATCAAATACACAAAGAGAAACCAAAAGGAATCACAAAAGCCATAATCATACATCATCCACAACATCATATTCTTCTCCTTCTTCATCAGCATCAACATCAACAGATGCAACAATTTCACTACCAGCAGCAAAATCATTACTTTTGTTAGCAGGGTCTTTACTTGAGAAGATGTCACAACAAATTCTGGAACATGTATTTCATCAAACAACCTATAATGCAAAGATAAAGGAGATTCCCTTTTCTTGACACTATCAATAGCCAATAAAATACCAGGATGCGGGATTTTATTGACCTATAACACCAACAGTAATTGTTATAAATCCTCATAGATACAGATCCCTAGTCTCCTTCTCAAGTTTTCAAACTGAATCGCATCTAGAGCTTTGGTAAAAATATCAGCAAGTTGATTTTCAGTGCTAACATGCTCAAGAGTTACAACTTTGTCTTCAACAAACTCTCTAATGAAATGATGCCTAATATCAATGTGATTGGTCCTACTATGTTGAATAGGATTTTTTGAAATGTTGATAGTACTCAAGTTGTCACAAAATAATGCCATAACATCTTGTATGACATTATATTCAGATAGCATCTATTTCATCCATACAAGTTCAAAACAAATACTTCCTGCAGTAATGTACTCAGCTTCAACCATAGATAATGATACACAATTCTGTTTCTTGCTGAACCACGAGATTAAATTGTTTTCCAAGAAGAAACATCTACCAGAGGTACTCTTCCTATCATCAACACTCCCAGCCCAATCGACAACGCAATATCTCAAAATAATTGAATTTGAATCATGAGAATATAGCATTACATACTCACATGTGCCATTCACATACTTCAGAATTCTCTTGACTTGATTGATGTGACTCACTTTGTGTTCTGCTTGATATCTAGCACAAACTCCAACAATAAAAGCTATACTTGGCCTGCTTGTTGTAAGATACATAAGGCTACCAATCATGCTTCTATATAAACACTGACCAACACTCATTCCCTTTTCATCTTTGGATAAGTTCACATGTGTAGGAGCAGGAGTTCTTTTATGGGTGGCATTCTCCAATCCAAATTTCTTCACAATATTCTTGGCATATTTTCTTTGACAAAGGAAAATGGAGTCTTCCATCTGCTTGACTTGCATAAAAAAATGTTAATTCACCCATCAAACTCATTTCAAACTCATATTGCATTTGTTTGAACAATTGTTGGACCATTTCATCCGACATCCCTCCAAAAATAATATCATCCACATAAATCTGAGCTATCATAAGTTTGTAGCGGTAGAAATGTTTAAGAATAAGCCATTGGATTGATTAGACTTGTACAGATTAAAATAAAAATCGCGATCGCGCTTTATTGTTTTCAAAGGAATGGGAAAAGAGCGAATAACTCAAAAGAGGGGGGAAAATTATAGGTAAGGGGGTTGGTTATGCAAAAGGAAGGTATTAGAACCCTAAACATCTACGGTACTCCGCAAGAACCTCTTTGAAAAATATGTATAATTTAGCTATAAAATGTTGTATGTAAAATAGATTATGGGGATGAGAAAAAGAAGTATATTTTTTATGATTTTTGCACCCTCCGCGGTTGCGAACCATTAGTGCCTACATACCACCTTCCGTGCAATAGGGGATCAGGGTAAACGTAATTCCTCTTTAAAAATTTTGAAACAAAAACACAAGTGTGTTGGTTAATTTTATGAGATAAGACGTCATCGTCATTGTCCGTGTGGAAAACATACTTACTACCCACAATTATGAGAAAGGAGAATTTGCATCATCTCAAAGTGGAGGATATGGCTTGGATTTTAAAATCAACAAAACCTCACTCAACATCCAAGTGGAAAATATCTCTCTTCACTACATATTATAGAAGTATAGTTGTTTGCATCACTACAAGTATTGACAAGAGTCTAATATTTTTGAGAAGAGTTTTAAAGTAAAAACCAAAGTGGCAAAAATGGTTTGAATGAGATTGATTGACTTTTAGTCTTCTCACAAAAATATTCAAGTATTGTTAAGTTGATTAATGTTTGATTAAGAAATTTTTTTTTTTTAAAATTGCATGGACCTAAGTCCAAATTTATTATGAAAGTGATTCAAGTTTTTAAGACAAGAAGTGTTTTAAAAAAGAGGGAGAATATTTTTTAAAATTAAAGAAGATGGGAGGAGATGAAGAGACTATCCTAAAGCATAAGGTAAAAGTTAGGGAAAAGAACCGTCTAACCAACAAGAAACCAAC